GTGTGTGTGTGTGTGTGTGTGTGTGTGTGTGTGTGTGTGTGTGTGTGTGTGTGTGTGTGTGTGTGTGTGTGTGTGTGTGTGGCAGATTGTGCTGCTCTTCATCGCGCTCATTGCTGTGCCGTGGATGCTGCTGCCCAAGCCCCTCATCCTCCGCGCCCAGCACATCCAGGTGAGGCGGGGGAGAGAGAAAGCGCAAGGCGCATGGGGGCGAGGCAAGGAAGAGAGTGTTGGGGATCGGGCCGGAGGGGGGGGAGAGGGGGGAGGGGGAGAGAGGGATGCGGGTGAGGGGGAGCGATGGGGGTGAGGGAAGAGAGGGATGGGGTGAGGAAAGAGAGCGATGGGGTGAGGGAAAAGAGAGATCGATGGGGTGAGGGAAAAGAGAGATCGATGGGGTGAGGGAAAAGAGAGATCGATGGGGTGAGGGGAGAGAGGAAGCGCAAGGCGCATGGGGGCGAGGCAAGGAAGAGAGCGTTGGGGATCGGGCGGGAGGGAGGGGGGGGGGGGGAGGAGGGGAGGGGGGGGGGGGAGGAGGGGAGGGGGGGGGGGGAGGAGGGGAGGGGGAGGGGGAGAGAGGGATGCGGGTGAGGGAGCGATGGGGTGAGGGAAGAGAGGGATGGGATGAGGGAGCGATGGGGTGAGGGAAGAGAGGGATGGGATGAGGGAGCGATGGGGTGAGGGAAGAGAGGGATGGGGTGAGGAAAGAGAGCGATGGGGTGAGGGAAAAGAGCAACACATGGGGTTAACTTGTTGTCGCCCTATCCCCGTCGTCCTACACCTCCCCCCCTTTCCACCCCAACCCACCACCACCCCTCCCTCCCCCTCCCCGCTTGCCTTGTACCGTTAGGCACACGCTTGGTTTTCACACAACCAACACAGTTGTGTGGGTGGATTTGTTCTCAACCATACCTACCACCACTCGTCAATGTGTCCAACTCCCTCAATGTCTGCAGTGCAGCCCATAACATGCGTTCAGCCACTTTCCCCCCCAGAATGGCAGGGTGCACCTAAACACCATATGTTCACCCTTTCTCCCCTTCCCTCTCCCCTCCCGCTCTCCCTCCCTTTCCCCCTCCCCTTCCTCCTCCCCCTCCCCCTCCCCCTCCCCCTCCCCCTCCCCGTCCCCCTCCCCCTCCCCCTCCCCCTCCCCCTCCCCCTCCCCCTCCCCGTCCCCCTCCCCCTCCCCCTCCCCCTCCCCCTCCCCCTCCCCCTCCCCGTCCCCCTCCCCCTCCCTCTCCGCCTCCCCCACCCAATCCCCCCGCCAGAAGATGGCAGGGCGCACGTACCACGCGCTGCCAGGCAGCGAGGGCGAGGCAGGGGCGAACGGGGAGGAGGGAGAGGGCGAGGAGGAGGAGTTTGAGTTCGGGGAGGTGATGGTGCACCAGATGATTCACTGCATCGAGTTTGTGCTCGGGGCCGTCTCCAACACTGCATCCTACCTGCGTCTCTGGGCGCTCAGGTGAACCTTCGTAAATCATTCGTTTCGTGTGGATGTGGGTATTCTCGGGTCGGAAGAATTGTCTCAGGTGAATCTTCGTATCTTGGCACTGGCAGTGCATGTCGTGCGCGTGACATCAAGAGCACACTCGCCTTCCCCATCCCGTCCCACCCCCACTCGACCTCATGTCTGCTCTCCTGCACGCCCTATGCTCTCAGCTATCTTCTATTAGTCTAGGTTCAATCCTTCCGAATCACTGTATTAAATTCGTTATCTCCTACACAGCACGGGCACGCACAACTCGCAACTGCCTTTAGCAAGTTTCGGGTTGATCCGCCTCATCTAATGAATTGCTGTCATAAGCTCAGGATCTCTGTTCCCACTCACGCCCCGTCCTCTGTCTGCAGCCTGGCGCACGCGCAGCTCTCAGCGGTCTTCTACGAGCGAGTCTTGGAACCCGCCCTCGCGTACGTTCTATCATATACGTTTCTGCCTCTCCCACTTGAGCCGCCCCTCTCTATTGTCCCATCGGTGCCGTCCCGTGATTGCCGTCCATCCCATCGCTAGTTGTCCTAAAATGGGTGTGTGCTCACTGCCTTGTTTCCATTTTCTTCACATACATGCACGTCACAAGGGCCTGCATCTATGATCGATCTGCCTTAGCCTTCCTTGATTTCTCGTCCCTCCGATGGGATCTTCCCCTGTCCTTATACTCCAATAACCTCAGCCCCCCTCCTTTCCTCCCCCGCCCCCCATCCCCCCCTTCCTCCCTGCTCCCCGGCTCTCCTCCAACCCCTCTCTACCCCCCTTCGCCCATCTTCCCATCGTCTCCAACCCGGCATCTCATGTTCTCCTTGCAGCTCTGGCAACGTGTTGGCCATTCTGATTGGTTCATTGGTCTTTGCAGCAGCCACAGTGGGTGTGCTGCTGCTCATGGAGACGCTCAGTGCCTTCCTGCACGCGCTCAGGCTGCACTGGGTGGAGTTTATGAACAAGTTCTATGTCGGCGACGGGTACCAGTTTGTGCCGTTCGCCTTTGCGTCTCTTCCTGATGAGGAGGATTAGGAGTTGAGAGATTAGAAGGGTTGAGATGGTCAACCCGTTCTGCACGCTTTCAGGCTGCAATGAAACGAGTTGACCCTAAACAAGTTCTATGTAGGCGATGGGTACCAGTTTGTGCCGTTTGCCTTTGCCTCTCGAACTGATGAGGATTTCTAAGGGTTGAGACAGTCAACCCGATCTTCCTGTGCTCAAGCTGCACCAGGTGGAGTTTATGAACAGGTTCTATGCTGGCGGCGGCGACAGGTACAGGTTCTAGCTCTTTGCATTAGCCACTGATGAGGACTAGTGAGGCGGAAATACTGTAAAGGTGGAAGACTAGGAGGGTCATGACAGCCAGCTTGTCCTCTATGTTGTCTGACTGGATTGATCTGCTGTGGATTTAACATCTATCCAATTAGAAAGCTTGCTTTCTTGCATGTAGCAATTGGCATTGTCTCATTTCAAATGGGTTTAGTACAATTGAAATCCACAGTGACATTACAATGATATGCCTCTACGTTACCGTCATCGTCCTGATAGTAGACAGTGTTGAATAGTAGACACGGGTTGTCTATTATCCGGGTGTCTCTTATAAACAGGCTAACCTCATTATAAGACGCCTATTTGTGTGTACGGGTTAAGGGGCAATTGTATAACGAGTGGGTATCTTCTAAACGGTTCTTTGTCCATTTATAAGACTTATAACTTATAAGACACCCAAAACCTCCCCAATTACAAGATAACCCAAGCTTTTTTTCTAGTGTACGAGATAAGACATATATGTCTTATATCCAGGCGATGACGATACTAAGGCTATCCTGTTTTCGAGAGGGGGGTTGGGGGGACGGGAAAATCGGCTAAACCGTTTGAAAATGAGAGACGTGGGTGGAGGGAAATGACCTCCAGCTCACGTTTTGTACTCCAAAACGAGCGTTTAGCACGGCACGACGCGGCCAAATCCTACATTACAAGCAGCTTCGCTTCCAAAATACATAATTTTGAAAAGCGTTAAAGCTTTTAAAAATATACATATCACTGCTATCCAATCCAAAACTATTTTCTGCCTGGTTAGGTATGCTCTCTTGGTAGGTGTCTAGCTTTCTGACGGAAGGTTGTCAAATAAATCTGACTGTTTCACATGTTTATCAGTGTTTACATGTTTAAATCCAGAAGCTTCATAGCTTGTGTCACTTGACACCGGCCAAGAATACGGGGAGTTGGATTGAATGGATTAGGGAGAGATGAGTTGAGGCGTTTATGCTTCCCCATGCGATGACTAGTAATAGGAAGAGGGACGTAAAGGAAGAGGGACTTATGCCCATAATGATTAGTTAAGTAAGGGTACATGCCGCTCCGGACACTTTCTCAAAGAAAGTGTCCGAATCACTTTTTTTCCCCGAGTCACCCTCAAATGTCTCGGAACCTCATGTCCCAATCAATAAATGTACGGCGTCCCTGCACGACCGCGCGACAATTATACGAGAAGGGCTGTGATTGGCCCTTCGCGTGAGTGGACCACTCATTGTGACAAGGTTGGGGAAAGTGTATTGGGTCACGGCGGGAGATATGCGAGGAAGCCCTGATTGACTAATCACACTTCAGTGTACGCGTTGGTTGGGAAAAAAACGAACAGTAAAATCATGACCAGGTACATGCAGAGGGGATAGACATTTGGAACCGCGTGCGATGGCAGGTCATTGTCACGCTGGTGTTCAATTAGCCCGCGACAGTTCCGTGGTTCACGCCAGCCAATCGAAAAAACGTTTTGCGACTTTGATGCGCGACCCGGAATTCCGACACATGGCAGCATATGTTGTAAGTACGCGTAACAATCGATTCGGACACTTTCAAGGGTACATGTCCAGAGCGGAATGCACCGTAAGGACCGTCAATGAATTTTCATGAGTTCTCACCGGGGGTGCAGGAGCTACTCTTCCTTGGATAATTTTAGCCTGTGACTCATAACCGCCCCTAGCGCGAGTACTTTGTGGAGGAGCGTCCCAAGTTTCTGTCAGATTTATATGACTTAGCTGCTGTAGGCTATAGTGGGGTAGCACATATGGGGTACAACTTTCTAGGGTTTGTACTTGTACCCAACTTTCCCTTAGTCTTTTCATTCCTCGTTCATTTTCACATGGTATAGAGCAGGTTCCCCTGTGGGAACTGTTCCTAGGGCCCACCAACTTTTTTTTTTTTTTCCTGCCCGGAGCGCGCTCAGCCTCTGCCCGAGTCGCGCTCCCCTCTCACGGCCCCGTCGCGCCGCCCTTACGACCCCGTCGCGCCGCCTCAGCGGCCCCGTCGCGTCGCGCCTCCCTAGCGGCCCCGTCGCGTCGCCCTTGCGACCCCGTCGCGCCGCCCTCGCGGTCCCGTCGTGTCGCGCCGCCCTCGCGGCCCTTTCGCGCCGCCCTCGCGGCCCTTTCGCGCCGCCCTCGCGGCCTCCTCGAGCCGCCCTCGCGACCCCTCCACGCCGCCCTCGCGGCCCCGTCGCCTACCCTTGCAGCCCCGGCGCCACCCTTCCCGGCCCCGGCGCCGCCCTTCCCGGCCCCGGCGCCGCCCTTCCCGGCCCCGGCGCCGCCTCTGCTGGCCCCGTCGCCCCACCCTTGCGACCACGCGGCCCCACCCTTAAGGCGCCGGTCGCCACCCTTCGTGGCCCCGCCGCCGCCCTCAGCGGCCTCGTCGCCGCCCCACCCGGCCCCGCCGCCGTCCCCACGCGGCCCCGCCGTCACCACCGAGCCGTCGGCGCCGCTGAGCCGCCGATCTACCGAGCCGCCGCTGCTGCCGAGCCGCCCGAGCCACCCGAGCCGCCCGAGCCGCCGAGCCACCTGAGCCGCCCGAGCCGCCGAGTCGCCGAGCCGCCGAGCTCCAGTTGCTGCCGAGCCGCCGTGCCGCCGAGCCGCCCGAGCCGCCCGAGCCGCCGAGTCGCCGAGCCGCCGAGCTGCAGTTGCTGCCGAGCCGCCGAGCTGCCGAGCCGCCCGAGCCACCCTGTCCGGTAAGAGCGGCACCTCTACCACTGCGCTGCCCTTACCCTACTGCTCCAGCTGCTAGTCTACTGCTGTCATGGCTACCCCCAGTGTCCTCGCTTTTGACGCTGAGGGTCGGGCCATTGACTTTGACGTCTGGGTAGATGACCTGCAGCTTTTCCTACAGTGCGACAGGGCAGACGGTCTCTCTCTCTTTGACCTCACTTCTGGTGCCTCTTCTGCCCCTGCTGCTGATGCTGACGCCACTGTTCGCTCACAGTGGGCCACACGCGACGCTGCTGCCCGTCTTGCTGTGCGCCGCCACTTGCCTACCGCTGAGCGTGCACACTTTAGTCAGTACAAGAGTGCTAAGACCTTGTACGACGCTGTAGTTGCACGCTACTCTTCCCCTGCCACTGCTGCACTTAGCCGCCTCATCCTGCCGTACCTCTTCCCTGACCTCGCCGCTTTTCCCACAGTCGCTGACCTCATTACGCACCTGCGCACTAGTGACACTCGCTACCGCGCTGCCCTTCCTCCTGAGTTCTGCGCCAAGAACCCCCCCCCTATGTACATCACCCTCTACTACGTAGTCACCCTGCTCCCTGACACCCTTCGCCCGGTCAGGGACCACTTTCTCTCTGTTTGCCCCACCACCCTCACCGTTGATCTCCTCGAGGAGCGCCTCCTAGCAGCAGAGAAGAGCATAGTCGCTGTAGGAGCCTCTCGTGGTGACCCTCGTGCCCCTGTCTTTGAGGGGTGCTCCCCCTCTCCTCTCTTGCCCTCTGTTGCCTCTGCTGCTGCGGCCGACCTCGTTGGTCTTGAGTCGGTCGGTGCGGCGTCTGCCCCTAGCGGGAGACGCCGCACTGGCAAGGGCAAGGGGGGCAGGGGCGCTGGAGGAGCTAGCGGGGGCGGTGGAGGCGGCGGTGGAGGCGACGGAGGGGGTGGGGGTGGCGGTGGGGGTGGTGGCGGGGGTGGGGGCGTCGGTGGCGGCAGTGGAGGCAGAGGCGGCGGCGGCGGTGACGGTGGGAGCGGAGGTGGCGGAGGTGGCGGCGGTGGAGGAGGCGGCGGCGGAGGAGGTGGAGCTGGTCGGGGTGGCGCTGCGCAGAGGGTCGGCTCCGGTGGTGGTCAGCGCCAGCAGCAGCAGCAGCAGCGCACTCGTGAGATCCCCCCCCCTCAGCAGCTTCGTGAGTGGTACGCTGCACGCCAGCGGGGTGGGGGTACTGGTCCGTGCACCTACGTCCTACGCACCGGCGACCGCGCGGGTGAGCCGTGCGGAGGTGCGCACTCCACCCAGCGCTGCTTTGGCCGCCTGACGGACGCTTGGCGTCACCAGTTCCCTGAGGCCACTGAGATCCCTCGCTGGGGTGAGCTGTCTAGGGCGGGAGTAGCTATCTTTGACCTTGACTTTGATGCTATTCTTGCTGCCATGTATGCTGTGACTATTAGTGATGAGGGTGACTGTTACTGGTGTTTTCCGCCCGACCCGGGCATTGGGACTGCTGCTCTAGGTACTGGTGAGGCTGCTGCTCTAGGTGCTAGCGAGGCTGCTGCTCTAGGTGCCAGTGCGTCTGCTTCCTCAGGTGCTGGTGAGTCTGCTCTCTCAGGTACTGCGTCGGCTCCGGCCTCCCACACCTTCACTCTTGACTCGGGGGCTTCTCGCTCCTTCTTTCGAGACCGCACCACACTCACGCCGCTTGGTCGGCCAGTTGCAGTCTCTCTGGCAGACCCCTCTGGGGGTCCTGTCCTTGCTCACTTCTCCACTGTCCTCCCGTGTCCGGCGGCCCCCTCTGGCACCCTGTCTGGTCTTTACCTCCCCTCGTTCTCTACGAACTTGGTGAGTGGTGCTGACCTACAGGATGCGGGGGTTCACCAGTTCACTCCTGCGAGCCAGCGTGTGACCCACTGCACGGACGCTCGGACGGGCCGACACTTGGCCACGTTTACACGTCGGCCGGGGTCGAGCTTGTACACACTGACCACTGAGTCTCCTCCAGTCACTGCGTCTGGTCAGGCAGCTGCGTCGGGTCAGGTGTTTGCTGCAGCGTCCAGGTCTGGTCCTGA